TCTTCCTTCTCACAAGAATACAACAAATTAAACAATTCTTGGGTTGTTTTCAATGAAGTATACTTCTTTTCAATACAATACTAACTATATAAAAATACTTTTCCAGGCTGAAGAGTCCCTGCACACTTAACTGTTCCCTCTATTGCATTTCCTCATCTGAGATCATCTCTGTTGTCCTTCTTGGAGTTTTTCCCAATTCTATTGTATTAAATCTAAAGCAAGGAAAAAAAAAAACACCTCACAGAAAAGAAAACACCCAAACAGCACATAAGTATGGGGGGACTTTTTTGTTCTTGCCAAATATCCTCTACCTTGAGAACAAAAACAAAAATAAGAAGTCAGATTATAACCTTGATCTTCTAGAAAGAAAAGCTTTGGTGAAAGAAGATGCCCTTATTCCCCATTAACTGCCTGTAAAAAAAATGGGAAAAAAAAGTAATTAAAATGAAAACATTTTTCCTAAGTTATTGCATAAGTTACTGCATACTTCAGAGAGCTATGAGGCTGTCTTGTCACAGACAGATGAATGTAAGTTTAAAGTTCACACAGATCTGCAGGACTTGGCCACAAATCACAAGTGAGTCCACTGCAGAGAAGCTGCAGTATATTTCTTTTGAGAGACAGATATTACAGTGTGCAACTGCAAATATCAAAGGTCATTTAAGAGACTCCTCCTCAGTGCCCTGGGCTTATCTTTTCCCTCTACTTGCACCCATCAAATTGTTGTAGAGCTGCCCTTTAAGCAAGACAGGTGAAAAGATGCAGGTTAAACCCAAACAAATCACTGTTTCCCAGCAGAGGAGTGAGAGTTAACAGCAGGGAGGGTGGGAATAAATCAGTTTTGCTGCTACGGGATTGAAATGTGGAACAAACCTTACGAACATTTTACACATCTCATGTCCTACAGTAACAGTGAACACTCCTAAAGCAAACTGGGGCAGCCTGAAAAGGGTGTTTCCCTTAAAAACATCATAATGTTCAAACTAAAATGCAAGGCCAAAAGAGTTTGGAATATTTACCACCATGATTTATTGTATATTTTTTGTGCGCTTGCAGGAGCCAAAAAAATCCTTTCATAAGCAAGAGAAATGTATTTTCTTATGAAACTGCATCTTATGCATTTTTCTTTATACTAAATAAGACATGAACTTTGACTCCAGATCTTTGTAAGGCTGAACTACTCAAAATAGCTCTGTACTTCCTTCAGTTTTTCATTTTAGTAAGTTTATCAGAAATTAATGTCTGAAAAATTAACATTTGAGACTTCTACCTATTAATGAAGTACAATCACTTTTGCAAAAAGCAACTGGGAGAAAAGATGGACAGAGAAAACATGATCACAATAAGCCCCGTTCCCTTAGAAATGAAAGTTAAAAATATAAAAAACCAATATCCACAATCCCAGGGAAAGCAGATAAAATCAAGCTCCTTGTGCCCTGTGACAGCTCTCTAATTATTTTCACTGCAGAAGAGACTGTACAATAAAAAGATCTGAAATCAGAGCAAAAATGTTCCCCCCCCAAGCCAAGAAAAACAACAGGGATGCTCGGGAAGGAATGAGAATAGATCTGAAAATTACTTGTATGACAAACACAGTTAACTTTTTCCTCCCTCAAGAGGGGGAGGAAGGTCAGTTTACACTATCCCTTCTTCCTTCCTTCCATTTCTAACCTCACCAGTTGTACCAGCCATATTGTCTTTCCACTTCTCCTTTCTGTTTCCTCTGTGCCCACGTAAACCTTGTTCCTTCCTTATTTTTCACAGCCCTCCCTCTGTCATTCTCCTGTATTTAATACTCAGTCCTCTTTATAGTCTCCTCTTCATTCTCATTGCTCCTGAGCACAACCAGCCACTTTGTGTGGAAATTTGAAATAATGCAGCCACAAACCATACCTGGCCAAAGCCCTTCTTGCATGATTTTGGCCATCCAGGCAAAATCCAACCTGTGAAAATCCTCCCCATTTTAAGTTTCTCTTAAAAATAAAAATAAACCGAAGTCAAACACGTTTGGACATTAATTAAACACAGGAAACAGAGAGTTTATACCAAAATCTATGTCCAAAGACTAAATTAAAGCTTACTTTGGCAAATTGTTCATACTGGCCATTTGGGAGGGGTGGGGAAATTGTTCAGACAGAAGGAAGAATAGGAAGAACTTGCTTGTCTTGGCTACTTTCTCTCATTTTTCCATTCTTTCCTTCTTTCTTTCTTCTCCTGTGTGTAACACCCACAGATTTCCTAATGAGACAGTATGAGACCCACCACACACTGCAGTGTGGGTGTAACTTAAATGAAAAAGAAACCTAAATTAACAAGTAACTTGCATGGATATTTATATTAAGTGTCACAAAACTGAAAAGTGGTATTAAATAACATTAAACGTAATATTATAATATTACAGACACTAATGTTAAAAATAAATTGTGATAGGTGAAAATTTTCTCTTCAAAATAGTTTAACAAGTCTCCTCTGCTCAACAGATCTGGAAGGATAAGATCTGCTCATTGAAGTAAGATAGCTTGGCTTCTAGTTCTGAAATGAATCCTAATACATCATGCCTTGACATAAAAGGTAGTCTAAAATCTTATTAATACAGGTCCAATAATTCTCTTTCAACTAAATTTTGAATACATCCTGCAATGTGCACATTAAAACTGACCTGAAAAGACGTGACTTCAAATGGGGGTGGAATGCTGGCCTGGGATACTCGAAATAGTAAATAACCAGTTAATAGCCATCCTAAGGTTCCTCCTCCAGAAACAAACTTCCTGACAATAGCAGGGGTTTTACAGCAGGGAAACTCAACACAGACTTGCATAACTTTGAGCAAAAAGAAACCCCATTCGGCTTGAAGAGCTCAAGAAGTTTTAATAACCTCCGAATGCAGCAAAAGCAGCAGCTTAAACACCTCCCCAGCAGCACCTTCAGAGCCACACACACTTCTTGGGATGCTACAAAACCCCAGGCAAACGCTGGCCTGGGAGCTGGGATTCATCTCTCCGTGACAAACACAACCCCATCTCGCTGTCCTCCACAAAGAGAACCCCTGACCCCAGAGAGGAAGGTGCAACACAAGAGGTTTGGGGATGTTTGAGTGAAGGCAAAGGGCTCACCTGAAACAGTCCCCAGAGGGAGGTCCCAGTGAACACCCACCTATTCTGTTATTTCCTTCCCAGGTAAGAACAGGCTTGAGCGTAACTTGAATAAACTTGATCCTTGGACCTGAACAAAGCTCTCCTTTCTTACAAATTACAGCCCTGAGCAAAGCAGGCTGAGAGAAGAGGAAAGAGCTGGATTTGGAAATGAGGTTGAACGTGAATGTTCGTTATCACAGCCTGTTTTCTCCCTTTGGTTCTTTATTGTTAATTAATGACGGGGAGATTAACAGCAGAAAACTGATGGAACAGTAATTCTGCCCCATCCAAAGTAAATATCTTTAATCTAAAACTGTCACTGATATTACTGATGACCTCCTCAAATGCATATCCTTAAGTTTTTAATTTTCAGGAAACAAGGGGAAGAGTCAAGCAGAAGATCAGTTCACAACCCTGGGACAGCATACCAGTATTTTTACTGAAAAGTTCGTGACATAAAAGAAAATGTAAGACCCTAAAGTTTCACAAACACCCACAAATTAGTGTTGCATCTGTCTGCATATATAAAAACAATTATTGTGGCTGGTAGTTTTACCTTATAAAACCATTGGTTTGGAAAACCTAGTTCTTACTGAGGCAGGAAACTTTAAAAAACGAAGAATAAAAAATATCCCTCGATAAAAGAAAACACAGAAAAACCTCAACAAGTCTTAGAAATTCTGATCCCACCTTCTGTAACGTCCCTCTGCTTTCACTGCAAGAAAATTCTATTTGTTCACTAAAACCCAGGAAAGTACAGAGGTCTGAAAGTTCCTGTGTTTGACAAACGTTAATAATATTTTAAAGGGATAAAATGTAGTTACAACTTGAAAGGGAAAAAGAGTTTAGAAATTCTTTAGTGATCAGAAGCATCTTTTGCTTATGTAGTTTTGTGTTCCTGGGGGTGGGAAAAGGCCCTCCTGTTGTGCCATAACAATCTGGCTCCCACATATGCCTAAAATTTTGCAATAATAAGTCAACCATACAGTATGCAACCCACATTTTCTTCATTAAAATCACTCATTATTATTGACAATAGCATTTAAAGCTGCAACCACCAACGGGAATTCCATAGGAATATACCTTTTCAATAATGGAAAACATTTTGAGAAGCAAAGAATTTGTTCAGAATTAAAACTGGTAATATAACATACATTGAGTTTACCATTTATGAGTATAGTGATCAGATATTGTAAGTATGTAACAATATTCACTGCAGAAGCCATAGTTCAGTAGTGATCCATCTCAATATATTTAAGGAAATGTGACAAACCGGGGCCAACCCTTTTTTCTGTGACAAGTTTATAACATGCTCCGTGCTAGTAATAAAAAAAAAAAAGTCATTTTTTTCCAAAGAACTATTTAAACATAAATTGCTTTTATGATATAAGACCAACAGATAAGCCTATCAACTGTAAAACCTACCATTATGACTGCAATGAAATGATATTAAACAAAAATTGGCAAGTCATTTAGCCCCCAAGCTGATGTAACAGAGCACAAGCTCCAGTGATCATTATCTTTGGTTTGAAAGGTGGATGTACTGAAACTGCACTTATTAGTCTCACCACCCTCACACACACAAAAAAATCAGTTCCATTTGGGTAAAAGTTCTTAATCCTGTTCTCCCCTGCACTCCCAAGGCCATTGGGGCTGCAGTTCCACTGGTGAAGTCAGAAGGTCATTTCTCACATCACAGCAACTCCTCAAGACTGGATACGTTGCCACAAGAGGGAGAAGCAAAGATATTATTTCTAAATGAAAATCTTCCTGATGGCAAATTTCTCCCGGAAAAAAGAAAGAGCAGTACTTTCCACTGTACTTTACCTTCCTTTATTTCATGACAAGTCAAATAATTTCTTTCACCTGTGAGAAACAAAGGAGCAGATGATCCGTGTCCCCCTGATTTCCATTGACCGCGTTGTTTCCGTGCTTCCAAGTAGTGTTGGACTCTTGAAGCAACAACTTCTTCCAGCAGCTTGCAGAGCTCCTGGAAGAGTAACCAGTGGCCTGCTTAGATCTAAATTTACAGAAATCGATACAAAATCACCCTCTTTCACATTAAAAGGAAAAACATCATCTGCAATTCAGTACTGAGGGGAGAAGCACATAAATTGGGAAACAAATGGGAACAAGGAGGGAATGAAACCATTTCTCTATAAAGCAAGAGAGGAAGTACACGATGAAATTCTCTCTTGGCAGATGAAATACATTATATTACAGTACTATTAGTTTTTTAATCAGAAATTGGTTTCATATGCAGCCAATGTAGGAAAAAACACATGTTAAAAATGTATCACAACATTAGGTATTTAAGAAAAATACTAGTAAAAATGCTCCCAGGAATTGTCAGCACACTATTTCTCTGCAAGAATCCTTACAATCCACAACAGATATTTTGCTTCAATTCAGTGTAATTTGGGGGGAGGAAGACTTGGAGCAAATTAGGTCACGGCAACTTAATTTCTCTAATTCATTTTGATTTTTCTGCTCCTAAACATAACTGTTCATATTTCTCATACCTTCTTCAAGAAAGCACAGTGAAACCACATACAACTCAGGGAGAACAAACTCTTCAGCCAGAATAACCATAAAAAAAAATAACTTGGAGTAAAAACAAAAATTAATCTCTTGAATACCAGAATAAGTTTTCAGTTTGATACTCACACGCATACTTGAGACTTTTCCCTCAGTATTCTCATTTTCCATTGTTCATAACTATTTCCTCACAGAAATGATACTTTGTGGCACACAAAAACACAATTTTACCTTTTTATTGTGTTTGGGTAATGACAAAATTATATTAGTAGTATCTAAATAAAATATCTTGGCCTGAAATTTCCTTTTGGTTAATGTAGAAAGTATGCAGAGCAACAAATTTTTAATGCATTGCTCTTAATGAAAGCAGGGCAATATATTGGTCAACCACAGCCAGTATTTTCTCCTTACAGTGAGAAATACATTTTCCTTTCTGCTTGTAGAGTCTAATTATAAAATACTATATTTACTTATTCTTCTGTTTAACTCATTAAAGCGATCCCATTACACATTCCTGCACAGGACTCTGGGTTCAGGTTAGAATGAAAAGGCCTAGAAAGCAGCAGAAACATGGGGTGTATTTGGTTCCTTCTGCACCAATAAACATCACCATGCACTTCCTTCATTGACATGGAACATATTTTAGCTTTTATGCTCATGGAAATATTATTTAAATGGTTCTCCACAAAGAACTACACAGACCTAAGAGCGCAAAGATGAAATGTGACTTTGCTGTTCCAGGGGAAAAGAGATATGACAGAAAGGGCAGGGAAATTTGAGGGGCAGAAAGAGGGAGAAGCAATCCCACAATGACTCTGCATCCAACTCATGACAGCAAACTGTGGCACAGGCAGGCAGAGAGGGCTGGACCACCAGCAGTATTTTCCTGAATTTGGAAACCACAAAAATGTACAAAACCACTTGTGATGAGCACATGGAAGCTCTCATTAAAAAAAAAATAAAATATATATATATATATATATAAAGGCATATTTCTTCTTTAAGACCTTTTTGCCCCACTTACACAAAGATCCTGCCTGGGACTTGGAGGAAGCAAATGCAAAGCTATTGGACTCCCACTTCTCAGTTGCTGAAAATATGCAACCTTTGTGCTTCTCTCGAAACGTGCGGTCCCAGAAACGCGATGAAGGCTGCCCTGTCATGCCTCTTTATTAAATCAATCATGATCTAATTTCCTGAAATTCATATCTTTTGTCTTGGCAGCCTTACAAAATACATTTTGAAAACGTTTAAAACTCAGAGAGCAAAACTGGTTATAAATAGAAGGCGTAACGAGCGTTCATTTAGGCAGAAAAAAAGAAGCCTAAAAGATTTCCCCCTATTTTCTTATTTCTCTGCTTAATAAAGCACAAATCTGATGGCCCACATGCTGCTAAATATTCTGCTCCCTCAGGATATTAATTTATTGTTTCTTTTAATTTTATTTAAACTTAGAGAGGTCCAGGGACGCTCTGCAGTGACAGGTTAATTAAGGCATTATTAGGAAAAGTATCTGCTGAAAATTACCGTAACGGAGACTTGCGGGAAAGTCCACAGGCATCCCAAACATGTCCTGCCTTCGTTTTCAATAGGGAACTTCTCAAGTTCCCACACAGGCTGACATGGGGGAAAACTCCTGCCAGTAACTCATCACAAGACTGGAGCAGAAATCACACACAGCCTGATGAAAGTTACAGTCAGAATTGTGATTTTCCACCATTTCGTCAGGATACACAAATGATACACTTGAAAAGTTTCTTTTCATGTGATGCAATGGTTCTACTACAGTTTATCATTCATACTTACTAGGTTTTCTTGCACCCTCTAAATGCAACACCCGTTCACACTTCTCAGAATGAGAAAAAAACAATTAATATAAAGATATTTCACCAACAAATGATACCTGTCACGTTGTCACAATCTGCTTTATATCACTCAGGATAATTCATAAACATTCACGAAAAATGTGATTTTAAAATGAAAAGTCACAAGAATCCAAACAGCATACACATGTATGTGTACACCCACAGAGTTTAAAAATTAAAAAGCAAATTTAAAGTGGTCATTAGTGACCCAAAAAGCACATGTGGCTGACTAAGGGGTCCCACAGCAATCGTTGATGGTAAGGTATAAGTAACAATATTCTCAAAGCCTTGGAAAATTCTGAACAGTTCAAGGCAATCCAACTTTTTCCCTGCAGCCACACGCTTTTGAAGTAGAACTGATACTTGTTGTACCTCTTTCTCATGATCTGAAAACCAGCTGGTGTCTTTACTGGAGCCTTGAGGCAAAATATGAACATCCACCAGGACAGCAAAGTTCCCACACTGGAAGAAAAAAAAAAAAAGACAAAAAAAAAGTTGAACTGGAGCTGCCAGGAAGCACATGTGGAACAGACACAGACAAGGAGATAAACAAGCAGGTAAGCATATCCATCTGATTCCAAGATACAGCAGGCAGAACATTCAACTGGGGAAGTTTATGAAGAATGGAATTACAACTTTATCATTGTCTGTGGACTTCATAAGAAACAAGAGCATCAGAGCTCACCGAAACCTTTAAACAATAGCAACAAGTATAAGAACATGGAATTTTCTCCTGCTATCTAAATGACATTTTTAAATCTGAGTTCAAGCAAATTTTAATTTTGTTTCATTTCCTTCACCAAACTCCCATCACTCTATTTTCTGAAAATCTGGTACCATATTAGTCATCTAGTTTGCATTTTAATTGTACTAATTCCTTAAAAATTCAGCCTATTGGAGGTCTTTTCCTCTCTAACCTACCTAATGTAAAGAACAGTAACTTTGAAGGATTTATCAATGAATATTAGGCAGTTACCACATCTGTCATTTGGGCAATGCTATACTTTGAATGGTTAAATAATAAGGCTCCCCCTATATACACTATATACAGTTGTTAGGATGTTATAGTTACTATAGTTATATGTAGTTATATATATATAGTTATAGTTATTAGGATGATATAGGTGACATCCCAAGGCACATCAGCTATTTCTCAAGTTCCTTGATTAACTTTCATTGAGGATAAGGTTACACATGAGCTTTAATTCTTTTCTTTCTTCAGTACATCAGTCATTACAATGAACTAATACAAGGAAGAGTGAATGGCACAAACACATCCCAGTTCCACTGGGCACTAACTCATCCCTGCCTCTTTCCCTGCACAGGGATAGGGAGCATTTCAAACTAATGGGGCCTTTTTCCTACTCTAACTCAGCACCAAATCTCAGTCAGACACCTCTGAATCGAACAACAGGGAAGGGAAAAGCGAATTTCATCGTTCTGGTTTGGCTGCCTGTGATGCAATAAACTCCCTCTTCGAGAAGACTGGACATGTGTGGTCATGGCAATTGCACATCCGGAATGTCTGATGGAACAGAAACAACATCCTGATTCCAGACAGAGCTCAAATGTGCCCCAACCATCCAGAGGGAGATTGGGCTCCTTTCAAGTGGCCATTGCAGGGCTCCCTTCCTGTCCTCACTCAGTCTCTCCATGTTTGCCCTTCCCTGCCAAACATCTGCACACCCCAACCTCAGAATTCCAACTGCTAACAGAATTAGCTCTAAAAACAGTGTGATATACAGTTTTAGTTGTACATCACCCACAGTCTGTAAGTCAGGTTTATGGTATAACACAAGTACAGCTGTTGGTGTACAATTAGCACAAAGAACAAGATTTACCATCAATTTTATTAACCATGACAGCATATTTGGTAAATTAAAAACCTCTGGGTTTACAAAACACTTAGATCTGTAAATTATGCACAAACAAAGGTATTAAAATAATGATTCAAATACAGTTAAAATCTAATCAATATTGGAACGTAGCTAGAATGCAAAAGTTTGGCAAATGAGACAGGCATTGGGAAATCATTTTGAGAAACTTCTAAGTTACTTATAGGTATCAGTCACTGAAAGAGCAGAATGCTTTGATCTACTGTATCAAAAGGCTTCTCTTTCCTCCAGAGAACCAAGAATTACCAGATGGCTGCAACAGCAAACCTTTCCAAGCTTTAAATGGATGACAAAATATCTCTCCAAAATCTCTGGTGAATCATTAGTCAGCTCCAGCAAACTTTAAGTTGACTACTGAACTTCAAAGTCAGCAGACGCTGCAGATTATAAAGTGAAAGCCAGTAAATTATTCATGGCTCAGCACTTATAACAACCAACAAGTATTTGATATATCAAGAAAATTCAAATTATCAAATGCTACATGTTAACTGGCATCATTTTCTATTGACTCCAGAAACTTTATATACAGATACAGATGCAAAGTACAGACCTGTTCTTCAAGAAGGGATAAAGTTTGTAATTATTTTCTTCTGAATGGCAACGCTTGTCTCAGTTGCCAATCTTGAAACAAATGGAAAAAAAGAAAATAACGAACCATATTTGAAATTATATAATGGAACAGTTAAAATTAAGATACTACAAACACACCAAACACTTGTCATACTTCAAAGAACAGTACAGACTACATGCCAATAGAAATAATTGAGAGGAACAGAAGAAAGTGGAAGAAAAATGTACATTGTTTATATTAACAGATTTGATGATCTTATAGAAGTTTCTCAGCAATTTTTATTTTTATTCTGATGACATTTCATTCCATGCAAATAGTAGCTTTCATTTGAGAGGAAATGAAGTGTTTCCAGTCAGTGTGGCTGCAAGAGGCAACTCGTGATTCGTAAGTACCATAACCGAAAGGCAAACAAAAAGAACAGCAGCCTTTCATTTCATGCTTTCAAACATCAGTCTCAAAATTTGCACTGAATATTGTTTTTAGAGGTGTGAGGGTCAAAACTGAAACCTGAGTGCCTGATTTGATGGGAAAAAAACATTTGTCAAAAATCAAAAACATTTCACTGAAAAATTAAAGACAGAAACAGATGCGCTCATTTGATAGCCCCCATAATTCTAGAATTCAAAAACTCTTCATTTTCACAAGCTGTTTTTAATGTCTGCATTCTTACTGAAACAGTCTGATGACATTCATTGTGTCACTAAACAAAGGGCTTTAAATGCTCCCAGAATGTTGTCAGTGTATTGTTGTACAGTAACGGCATCTAATTCAGAACACGCTTTCAGAAATCAAATTGTTTATACAAATACATCAAACACTTCATAGATTCTGCATGTTGAAAGGATAACCAGCCATGCAACATAAACAGAATAAAAACCAACACAGGGCTAAGTCAGTCAAGGGAAGTCATCTGCTCATAACCTGTTCAAACCCTGAAATAAGCACATATTAGATGGTGAACTATTTTAGCAAATCACCCAAATAAGGACTTTTTATTGCTATACTGATTTTTACAATCAGTGGGCTCCTACGTGGTGCTCTCATTTCTTTAAACTGCATCACTTCAAACAGCATAAACCCAGCCCTTATAAACAAAAAATACTTGGGCTGCTGGGGATAAACACGGTGAGTTTGCGTTCGGTGACACCACTCCAAATGTGCTGCATCATTAAAGCAGACAGGGCTGGAGAAACAGCTTCCCATGACACATATTAGTGTTTCCCACTTCTGGGATTACTCTGCAGATGTGGGCTGCAGGGTCAGAATTAATTGTAGCTTAGCTAAAACAGAACCATCTGATGGTTTGGCTGGATTTGGGGCTGGGCGGGAAGGAGCCGAGCTGGAACTGTCACCCTGCTTTTCCTTCCCACCAGGAGAGCTGCAAACACAGGTGACACCCCCAGGGTGGCAGCAGGAGTTGGCCCCAAGTTTGCCATCTCTGCTTCAGCTCAGAATGGTCTTTGTGGTGCCAAAAGCTTGGGGACTTTGTTTATGAGCCTTGCTTTGCTTACAATCAATTGGAATAAAGTCAATTTTGACCCACGTTTCCCAGTTCTACTGGGAGAGAAGCGTGTCCTACACTGCACAACTTGAGTTCTTCAGGATAAACATGCAGGGACTGTTTCTTTCTACTGTTTCCTCTTCCCTGAGAAGTGGGCTAATTAATCACAGTGGTAATTAGTTACAGTCTCAGATGATGTCAACAGTTAAAAAAAAAAATAGACTAGATCCCAGTGACCACTCAAAAATGCCTTTAGAAACCCTTTTTTGGCATTGTGACATAACTGATAGGAGGCAGCATCAATCTCCAGGGGGCAAAAGCACAGCCAAGAGATTTGGGGGGAAAATAAAATAAAATAAAACATACATAAGGACCTTATGTGAAATATCTTGCCTTAAAACAAAGAGGAAAATTTAAATATTTTCCATCCTTTTTCTTTCTGAAAATCAGTAGATGTTCTACACTGAATCAAGCGAGCTCAAACATCTACAGCATTAAGTATAATTATGTATTGTCACTGGCCTATGCACTGTGCCAACTATATTGTGACAAAATTCACTTTTTCCAGGCTTTTCAGAAAAAAAAGTTTGTTCTCCTCCTTTATCTTTCTGACCCCAAAGAAAATGATGTGTCTTCCTTCTGGCTGTACTTTTACCACCAATGACTTTCAATATTTTGACTTTTTCTGTTCTACAGCAATAATTGACCTTTTATTTGTCACCATACAGTCAAGCTGCACAGAAATAGTGTTTCCCTGGTTACTGCTCAAAGCAAGGTGTTTTTTCAGCTCTCTATTTCAAGGGTGTTTAGAAACCATCAGGTCACCAGTGAGTGGTTTTACTGTCATGAGATTAATCAGAAGGTCACCTAATGAGAGGAACCGGTAATTGTAAAAGGATTCCTCACCAGCTGATTCAGAAGCAGAGCATAACAGATCAGAGAGAAGGCTCCAGAAGGAGCCACAAGCAAGATCCCTCTAGGAATTATTTATGACACAAGTCCATTCTTCGGAATGCTCAAGAAATATGATGCAAATGCCAGGGGGAAAAAAAAAAAAAAGGTATATTCCACTTTTGACCTTTTCTCTCTTCTGGATAAGAACTGCTTGGTTCTGGAAATTGTACAAGGCTTGTACTTTGTCAGAAATCAATTTATGAAAGTTGTAGAATAGTTTTGACAAATAAATCCTTCTTGTTAAAGGGTTATAGCCATCAGCTAACATCACCTAGATCTTTTAAATTCCCTGCTTTCAAAGATCTATGGGGTCACTCTGCAACAGTAAAGAGGGAGCAGCAAATCAAGGGCAAGGGTAACTTGCAGATCAATCCTCAAAAATAGCTGTACTAAATTACACATAGATTCAGCAGGAATTGGACAACCTAAAATGCATTCAGACTTTCCAAAAGCAGGGAGGAAATTCCCCCTTTTATAACCTGAATATGGGTTATATCTAAATAATCTTTCACAAGTGGTTGGCTTGCTTTTATTTTAGGAG